AGGTGCACTTAATATACATGTAGGCAATACATACATACACATAAAATAAAAATAAGGAAAATATTTTTAAAAAAGATGAGAATCAGAATTTTAGATAATGATGAATTTCAGGTTACCCTAGAATTTCTACCTGCCATTGCCTTGCCTTGGGCCATGTATTGATGGCAACTTGTCTAGTTGATCTCTGGGAAGGGTGATGAATTCAGAGAGAGGTTGCACAGCAATCAGCAAGACATGAGTCCACCCTTGAGCCCCTAGGATTTCGTTTACAGGCTCTTATTTATTTCCATGTAAATTCAAAGATGTGGATCTTTGTGCTTAAAAACAGAAAGAAAGAGGCCTGTGTTATAAGTCAACTTGTAGAAGGAAGAGTTTATTGGGTTTATGGTTTCAGAGGGTTGAGTCCATCATGGCAGAGGAAGCAGCAGAAGCTGAAGGTTGAGCACATGTATCTTCAAGCACGGGTAGAAAGCAGAGAGAGGGGAAACTGCAAGTGAGGCAAGGCGATGCACTTCCTCCAGCAAGACCGCACTTCCTCCAGCAAGACCGCACTTCCTAAACCTCTGCAAACAGCCTCACCACCTGGGCCCAGTGTTCAAATACCTGGACCCTATCGGGGATATTCTCTTCCAAGCCACCAGTTTCCTTGGAAGTTTCTCTGTCTAGTCTGTGTGTTTTGTTTTTGTTGTTTTTGGTAAGGATCTCTCCTAGGAAAAACATGTACTGCCAGCTAGAAGAAACCATGACTTCTCAGCCTTCTTGTCAAGTTTAAGATAATTTTTAAAATTATAGTTAATTATGTTTGTGTGTATGCATGTGTGTGTGTGTGTGTGTGTGTGTGTGTGTGTGTGTGTGTGTTGCATGGTGGGTCAGAGGGCAACTTGAGGGAGGTGGTTCTCTCCTTTCATCTTGTGGGTTCCAGGGATCCAACTCAGGTCATCAGGCTTGGCAGCAAGCACCTTTACCTCCTGAGCCATCTCACCAGCTCCAAGGTATTTAAAAAATTTAACACTAGCAGCCACTGGGCTCCCTGCATTAATCCAGAATGCCAGCAAGAGAATGGTACATTTTGCCTTTTCCTCATGCGAAAGTAAGCTGTGGAGTCTGACTCTTTCCACCTCCTTCCTGTGCCCAGTGTGGAGGAGGAGAACTTGGCACTGAGCTGAGCTGGTGGGCGCTCAATGTTCTTCCTCCCTGCTTTTGGACAGCACAGAGATTTATCCCTCTTGCATTTCCAGCTGTAAAGTTCATTTGCTGTAGGATCCTGGCAGCAGAAAGGGAGGGAGAAGTGTGGATTTCCACAAGAACTTGGAAATGGAGTTGGAGTGGGGGACAGGGTATGATAGCTATTTTCCAGGACCTTATTTCTGCCCTCAGGGGCATTTTGAGTCTGGTGTATTGCACTGTGGGCTTAAGCACAATATATTCATTTAAGGTCAATTTCATAGGCGGGCTGTGTGCTTTCAGTGTAAGTAGACTGCATATGTGTGTACACATGGACAAGTGGGCGGAAGCACATGTGTGTACATATGTGCTGGTTTTGGCAAGCCACTGACTTTTCTCTTGAACAGTTTGTATTTTCAAGTAATATGCTTACAGAATGCCATTTAAGCCTGACATTTCTCTACATTTTGTTCCAAGGCTAGGTATTGAACTTCCAGATCAATCTATAAGCACCAGAAATGTTGACTGCACCAAAGATCTACACACTACCTGTTGAACTCTGAACATAGCTCAAGCATCTTCAAAACACTGTCTTGTAAAAATGATATATTGTTTGATACAGAAATATAAATACTATGAACAATAGCAAGAATAAAAACCAGGAGGCTGGGCCAGCAAGATGGCTCAGAAAATAAAAGTGCTTTACCATGGAAGCCTGACAACCTGAGTTCATCCCTGGAGCCCTAGTGGAAGGAGAGCACCAACTCCCAAAGTTGCCCTGACTTCTACAAGCACATGGTGGCACACGTATGTCCCTCCACAATAATAATAATAATTATTATTATTTAATAAAATTTTAAAAAACAAAACCAGAAGGGTGTTAATGGGAACAAGTTCGGTGAGGCTTCATAAGCAAGGCCTGGGACCAGGGGCTGAGTGAGCGGCCAGTGCAGTAAATGCTTTTCTCATTCAGACTGTTTATCCACAGTTCTTGTTCTCAGATCTCATTCTGGCACACTCATTGTTTTTCTTGTGGCAAAACAAAACAAGTCCACATAGCATGCAATACACTCCTCTGGTTTCAAACTGTGCAGTACTCTATCACCAATGGCATGTAGATTGTTGGGCAGAAGGTCCCTAGAACCTGCCCCTCTACCCTGGGAGAAAGCGCATTGACTTGGATGGCCTGTGTCTGAGCCGGATGCCTGCTACATCCTCACATTTTTAATTGACTCTTAGTTATCCTTTTTCTCTGCTACCTTCCTTCTTCAGTGGGTTTCTTTTTTAGTGTTCTGGTTGTGTTAATGATGAATGTTAATAAATTGAGTCATCAGATGTCCAGGAGAAGGCATCATTGAACAGGACCATGACCTGCACATTTCCTGGATGTTAGCTAAAGTTAACTTAACAGTTCCTAAAGCCATACATAATCTTGAACCATATAAACACCGTTATGCCTCCTGTAATAGGATTATTGAAGAAATTGAATCACTCTGATAGTTTAAACTTGTATACTGTTGATGCTTCCTCCCAAACTGCCCATTTGGCTAGGGAACTAGAACTAGAGTTTTAGGTAACTATAACCAGAGTACACAGCTCTGGCAGCTCTGACGAACTAGGCTCACCCACACATCCCAATACTCCAATTAAAGAGATGAGTAATGGTAAAAAGCACAGAGAGGAAATGTTTTTCAAAGTGGCATGTTGGGAAGAGGAACAGATAAAGGACCCCGGTCCATCTTCAAAATGACCTCAAAGAGAGTTTCAAAGTAACAGTGCCCCCGACAACCTGGCCTCTCTAAGAAGCTACAGAGGGGTGAGGCCTGAGACTTGCTAAGAACTTTGATGACTTGCAGGTTTCTTACAAATTAAATGTTCAAGACTTAAAATATGTATTCTGATAGCAAATGTAACCGGAGTGTTAGGGCAAAGGCCTGTCTCCAGCGGTCTCAACAGGCTAGGCTCAGCCATTCATCCCAATATGTCAATTAAAGAGAAGCGTAATCTTGAGAAGCAGGCGATTTACTCAACGTGGCCACATTGAGTAGAACAGATAGAAGGGCCCAGTAACCCCAAGTCTACCTTCAGGTTACTGTCATGAGCTTTAGGTCTAAGTAAAGAATTGGAGCTGAGTAATAAGAGGTCTGCGTAATGAAGCAGTTCTGGTCAAGGTGGGGTCTGCTTGGTCATTGCCTGGGTTCTGGTTCTGTAAGAGCATCTGAAGAAGGCTTTATTGTCGAGGCTTGAGAGGATCCCTTCTACTCCAGGGGCTGGCCTTTCCATCATGGACCATTATTGTCATCTGGGCAGAGGTCTGCTCTGTGAGATTTTGTTCTTCTAGGAATCCAAGGTGACTGCAGGTTTAGGATGACTTATCTCTGAGACTTCAGTGGAAGTAAAGGATATAGACAGGCGCAAAAATGAAGGTAGAGATGTCAGGATTTTGTTTTTAGTTACTTGTAGGCTCAGGTGAGGAATAAATGCTTGTTGGCAAAAGCTGCTTCTGAGAGCCAGTTTTGGGACCTCTTGTTTGTGGATCTTGCTTGGATGAGAACCTTTATTTACCCTTGCATTGATTTGGAATTAGTTTCTACTTATGAAAAACAGCAGTGTAGGGCTCTGTGCTCTGTCGACAAAGATGGCTCTTGTTTTCCTCCTAATTATATCCAGATGTTTTTGTAGTGCAACTTTCACACTTCCCACACATTCCAGCCCGTTGTTTCTGTCACCTATGGCCCATTTTACTTCCAAAGGAGACACAACATCTTTTACTGTAAGGTGAGTTGTTATCTTATAGTATATCTTGGATATGGTTTTATATCTAAAATTGATTTCTCTGTCTCTCCTTATGAGTTAATGTTTCTCAATAAACTCACAGTATCATACATTTTTACTTCATGTGTCACCTGTATGCTGAGAACTTTTGTAAAATTTCAAGTTGGCCAGTTCATTTGCAGTATTAGGAGTATGGCGATTTTCTGAAAAAGATTTATTTATCTTTATTTTATGTTTATGGGTACTAGCTTGCGTTGTGTATGTGCCTGGTGGCCACGGAGGCCAAAAGAGGGTATTAGATGCCCTGAAAGTGGAGTTAAAAATGATTGTGAGCCACCCTGTGGAAACTGACCCCAGGTCCTCTGCAAAAGCAGTAAGCAGTCTTAACCACTGAGCCATCTCTCCAGCCCCCAGTATGGCGATTTTTAAGGCTGAAGGATAATATCCAGTTAGACTTCCAGCTTCCTAAGGTACATTTACAACAAGCCTTATATTACTGAGTCCTTTGAATAAATTTAGAACTTCAAAACTAGGGTGGGATCTGGTGAGGTGGGTCAAGGGGTAAGAGTAACTACCAAACCTGACCACCTGAGTTCAATTCCCAGAGGTGGAAAGGGTGGGGGTGGGAACTAGCTCCTGAAGGTTGACCTCTGTGTGTGTGTGTGTGTGTGTGTGTGTGTACACTCCACTGTTATTTAGAAATAAACTGAACTTGAACAGTTGCAGTAAATTCAATGTCCTAGTGATGGTCAAGTGTATCCAGAGAGTTATTTTACCAGTAACCATCAATACCCTTCAGATGATTGGTGTTTGTCTGTAATAAAACTGTGAGCAGTGTGTAGCAGTGAAGTTTAGTAAACACTTCATTTCTGAGAGACCAGCACTCCCATTCAACAGTACTTCAGGTTTTCCAGAAAATCCATCGATTTCCTCCTCCATCTCCTCCTACTATATGGCCAAGCAGTCCCCCAATCCTCCCGTCTGTTCTTACACATCTATTTATCTTTCTGGTGTGTGCCATGTTTGGGAGTCTCATTAAAGCAGCATCTGTTCTGTTTTAGGAGAAACCCGACGCCAGCCCCACGTCACTTCAGCTGCCGTCCCAGATCGAAGTAAGCACAGCCACTTTCATCATCTATTTTTGCTTCTGCCTTTTCTCTTATGTGATATTCTGTAGAAATCAGATGCAGTCCACCACTCTCCTGAACTGACACCGCAAATCTCTCTCTCTCTCTCTCTCTCTCTCTCTCTCTCTCTCTCTCTCTCAGGAATCTCTCGGCTTCTGCAGCGCCGTGTCAACTCCGGAAGTAGAAAGAAAGTAAGTCACTTTCCTCCTGCCCTGGATCCCCGCTTACAGGAAGGTGTGAGGGCTGCAGTTGGATATGATTCTCCTTAACATGTCGCATGTGGTGCATCTGCTGGGGTGGCTGAGTGTGGGCTTTCCAGTCTTATTTGGGGATGCCTGGGGCTTTCCAGGAGGGTTAGTAGTTTCGTACAGCTTGTTGTGAGGGAACTCCCAAGAAATGCCTGGATAGAAGAGAAAAGACAGGTAAGTGAACTGACAGAGGTTTTCATCTTTGATGTTAGCTTTCAATAGAGAATGAAGATAAAAGATGCAAATAAAATAAATCCCAACTAAAGCAATGATCCAATAGGCGTTCCCTGAACCTTTTTGGGTGGACCACCTCAAAACAGACATAAACACACAAATCAGAAAGCTGGCTTATGCTTGGGGGCCTTTCTAGTTAAAGGCATGTTTTTGTTTCCCTGTCTAACTTAGGCCCTCTAATTTCTGCTCTTGTAGAAGATAATGCTATGTTTTATTTTATACTTTCAGGATTTCTTTTGGGCAACTTAAAAAACAAACATAAAACCAATGCCTTTTTGTCTATAGGCTCTCCCTTTTCTACTTTATTCCATCGTAATTATGCTAGGATGTTCTATTTGTGATTTTCTGAGGTAAAGAAATTTAAGGAAAGTCCACATCTCTAAGCAGACACTTCCCCTGGCCCAGAGCCACTTGCCCTGTTTCATGCCAAGAGAGGCAGAGAAGTGGTTTAGGAGCAAAGTATTTCAGGAATGAGAAGCGCACGTTGGATGAGCGTGTGTGTGTTTTACAGACCTCCCTGCCTAATCCGGGCATGTGTGTACTGCTGGCTGAGGCAGCTTTAAGAATTGAGGGCTGCTTTGCCAGAGAGCTACAGTTCCAAACTAAGATGCTAAGTAGGTTTGTTTCAGAACTAAACAACATAAGGGCTTGAGAGCCAAAGAAAAGCAAGGCCATTGCTGATTCAGAGTCAGAAGACAAATGTGAACACTATATAAGTATCTCCTGTTGGAGTCACATTATCTTCCCAGGAACCTAGTCACGTGGAGGCTGAAGTAGGCCAAGGATTTAAGTTGACATTGACTTTGAACTTGAGGGTACGGAGGTGCTGTTGAAGTATTGGTAGAATGAGTTATGGGTTTTCCTGACCTTGTTTCACACTTAGGTAAGATACAATCAGAGAGCTCAGGTATTCCCTCAGGATCTGAGTCCTTCATGAAAGAAGAAATGCTTGTATGACTCACCGAACTTTGTACTAACCTTGTTTAGGCTGGGTAGTCTTTCCCCTTAGTGGTGGAGAGTCACTCTTTCCATTTTGTATACTTTACAAAGTATGGCATGACTTTTGTGGCAGAGAGAGAGAGAGAGAGAGAGAGAGAGAGAGAGAGAGAGAGAGAGAGAGACTGACTGCCTCTTCTGAGGTTAACAAAAAATTTTCAACACACACACACTGCTGACAGCCCCCCACCTCTCCATATCTGGCACTGCCATTTTGTCTCCATACTTTTAATTGGTTCCGATTTAAGTGTTTCTAAACATTTTGAAACTTTTAAAACATTTTGTTCTTCATTTTTCTTTTAACATTTTTTGAAAATTATAGCATTCTTTTTCTCAGCTTTGAAAGCTTTGTTTTGAAGTGAGCTTCCATATAAACTTTACTCACTCAGCACTTACTAACATGTGATGCTCTTTTGTTCTCTCTCTCTCTCTCTCTCTCTCTCTCTCTCTCTAATTATTCTTGCTGAACCATTTGAGAGTAAGTTGCACACATTGTGGCCTTAAGTCCTTGAGACCTTTGGCATGTGTTTCTTAAGGACAAAGACATTCTCCCACAGAACCATAGGGAATTACCAAGGAGAAAACTTAATGAGTTTTCCTAACTTACAATTCAGCTTTCTCTGATTGTCCCAATAATGTCTCTTTCAGAACTTCTTTTTTTTTCCAATTCAGCACTTTAAAAAAATTACAGCATTTTCATGTGTTGTTTGAAAGAGCTTAGTCTTTTATGAAATTGACATTTTTGCAGAGTACGCTAGCTGTTTTCTGGAGGAGTCCTTGTTAGGGCTTCTTGTTTCCTTTCTTCTCCACAGTGCATTACATCAGGAGGCTCATGATGCTTGCTCATCCCATGATTGGTGATAATTAATTTTTACTAAATATCATGGAATCTGGCAGGTTTCATCTGACAAGTTATACTTTTCCCTCCATAATGAGCAAATATTCTGTGGGGAGAACATCTGAGGTTGTACACATATCCTGCTCTTCATCAGACTTTTACTAGAAAGTTTTAGATCCAGAGATTCTTGAATGCCTGAACCAATGTTTAACACAATGATTGCAAAACAAAAAAAAAAAAAATACATCTTAGTTAATATTTATGCCTAGATTAAATCTTCCAAATGGCTTTTTTTTTGTTTTGTCTTTAAAGATTAGATAAAATTTTAAAATTTTATCTAATCTTTAAAGACAAAACAAAAAAAAAAAATACATCTTAGTTAATATTTATGCCTAGATTAAATCTTCCAAATGGCTTTTTTTTTGTTTTGTCTTTAAAGATTAGATAAAATTTTAAAATTTTATCTAATCTTTAAAGACAAAACAAAAAAAAAAAATACATCTTAGTTAATATTTATGCCTAGATTAAATCTTCCAAATGGCTTTTTTTTTGTTTTGTCTTTAAAGATGAGATAGAACTTTAAAATTCTAAGTCGGATATAGTTGGAATAGATTTAATGCACTGTTTACTTTGAAAAGTTATTCATTGTGCTTTAAAGTAAAAATATGTTCAAGTGGAAAATCCTTCAGTTCCTTCTATCCAAATGCTGGTTAGTAGCTTTTCACTTGCTTATTAAAGCCATGGAAGATGACCTGGCAAGCAAGTTGGTTATGTCTGGTTAGTGTCCACAGAGTGTGTGCCAACTAAAATACCATCCTGACTCAGTGTTATTTTATGGGCAGAAATGTTCTGCTTTTTATTCTGACTGTAAAAGAGACCAAAGCAAACACAACTAGACACATCCTGCAACAGCCCTCCAGTAAGGGACAGAGGTGCTGGCTGCAACAGGCAACATGAGGATTGAAACAACCAACCCTGGAAGGCTCCTGCCTTCCAGAGCCACAGTGTCCCCGAGTTGTCTCTGGGACCCAAGCTCACATGCCTCCCTCCCTACTGCCCTAGGTAAAAGCTAGATCCTGAGACAGAGAGAGATCTGACCTAGATTATGATGTAATGTCTGTTTCTTAAAAAAAAAAGCTTTTATTCAAACAGCACTTAACATTTAACAGGGTTTAAGTGTCAGGAAGTTAGCCTGGACCAAGAGAAGTAGATGTGGTGAGTCTGTCATGGAAGAGACAAGGACCAAGAGTCCTGACACTCCTGGCATCACATTCCTTGATGGTACTACTTAGTTTGGCTGTGAGCCTTTAGGCTGCTTGGCCTGCACAACAGACTCAAAGGTGAGAGACAAGTAGAGGACAGGTAGGGAAGTGGGTCAGCTGGAAGAGAGACTGCTCCTCCTGCCCCTCACCACTTTGACAAACATCCCCATTCATCTTTATGTTTAGCAAGGTGTCTTTGTGTTGGTTGGTTTGGTTTGGTTTGTGGCACCTGGAATTGGACACGGGGCCTTGCGAGGCATGTACAAGAGAAGCTCCGTCACTCGGCTGCATGGCCAGCCCATGTCCTATTTTCTCACATTCTTTTATGCCATTTGCTTCCACTGAAGGATAATAAAGGAAACAAGAGAGCTTTCCTTTGAGCCCCTTCCTGTGATACTTGTCTACATTGCCTGTTGAAGAGGTGAGCCTCTTTATTCTACCATTTGTATTTTGTATTATTGCATTTGTGTCAGCTGGCCTGAAAGGTGAACATGAGCTAAATCTCTTATGAGCAGCTACTCTTAAGGATATTTAGAAAGCAAGACAGCTACTTTTCTTCCCCTTCCTTCTCTTCCTCTTCTTCTCCCTCCTTCCTCTTCTTCCTCTTCCTCTTCCTCCTTCTCCTCCTCCTCCTCTTCCTTGTCTAATAAATGTCTTTCTAGCTCTATATGAGAAATGGGGCTAGCTTTGGATGAGGCAACCTGACCCATAGTGGCATGAAGAAATACAGGTTTCATTAGACCCGTTTCTTTTCTATCTGTTAGCACAGGGCTGACCTAGAGTCTCAACAGGTTTTCAGGAACCCAGACTGCATTTTGTCCTTCCTTTCTTTTTATGGGAGTGGTGGAGGAGAGTCCTCATGACTTCAGAGTAGCTGCTGTGTCTTCTAGGCTAGGAGTGGAAATAAAGTGAAGGGGGGGTGTCCTTTTAAAACGTTTTCCTAGAAACCGCTCCCCACCCCATTCCCAATTTCATCTCTTCATTTCTTTCATAGCATGATACGGTACAAATTTACATATTTTCAATGGTGCTATGAACAAGTAAAGTGTTGGGTGCTCTGATATTCTGCTTTGGCAGCACACAGACTGAAGTTGCTGCAATAGAGACTCCCCTGCCTGCTACAGCTGCCATGAATTCTGACAAGCCCTCAGCACTATGATGCACTGAGACTCTCTGAAACCATGAGCCACAATAATCCCTGCCCCCAAAATAAATTGGGTTATTTGATTACCATATCTCTAAGAAAGTTTGGAGAACTGAACACATTTTTTCCCCTGAATAAAATGTCATTCTTAAGAGGGAGTGTTGTTGTTCAATAGGAAATTAGTACTTTCTATAAAAGCTAATATTTGGTAATGTTATATATACATGTATAAGACAGATCTGAAAATCAGCTAAATGTCTAAAAGATGTCAGGATTATTGAGATTCAGTATGTTCAAGGAAGCCAATAGTCCTTGGGGCCATTTGGTTATTTCTTTTATCTCTGTTAAAGTGTCTCTATAGAGTTGGCTCATATGGACTGTGGATTGGGAAAGAAATTAAAAAGTAATGATAAGTTTGTTGAGAGTTTATCATCTACCAAGAACTGTTCCAGGTACTTAACACTAACAC